TAATGCTTCTCAGCTAGATAGCCGCTTGTTTATCTTCAAGCCTTTAAGACCCCAGACGCTATATCTTTTGATAGCCGGGCACCATTAGCTCTCTTCACCACATTTGCTTATGCACACATTTGTCTTCAGTGATTGTGTCAGTAAAGCGGGCACTGAGGGGTTTTTTTGGTTCTTGTCTGGAGTATGATTCTTGAACAGTGGTTCTCAACCTTCCTAAGGCCGCGACTCTTTTAATACAGTTCCTCATGTGGTGGTGACGCCCCCAACCATAAAATTATTTCCGTTGCTACTTCATAACTGTAATGTTGCTACTGTTATGAATCAGGCAACCCCTGTGAAAGGGTCGTTCGACCCTCAAAGGGGCCGTGACCCACAGTTTGAGAACTGCTGCTCTAAAAGCTAAGTGACTTAAGTTGTCTAGTGCCAGGGAAGTCTAGCTTATTTAAAAGCAGCTTGCCTCTTTTTACCCAAATCTGGTATAACCAGAGCCTGTGGAAGTTTTGAGGTTCACTGTTAAATATGGCCACTGGAATTTATCATGCATTATATCTTTAAGCCCATTGATCATCTCTTATATGTAGTGTCTGCAGGATGCGTCTATAAAGAGACAAGAAGAATGAAGACAAGAGGAAAGGACTTATTACTCCCTTAATTATTAACTCCCGTTGAGTCATTGTGAGTCAGAATTGACTCTAGTAATGAATCTTTGATACGTGACTATATTGACCATTAGCATTTAAAGAATGTTTTTCACTGAATTTTTGTGAAGTCACCATTGGAGATGGTAGGACAGGAACTGTGTTTTTCAGGTGTTGATAACGCAATAAGTCGTTTCTTCTGTTTTGATTCCTCTATTTAATTGCATTTTCTCATTTATTTTAGTCTAACAATATGTCAGTGTTAACCCATTTTGTTTGTAAAATTTCAGAAATGTTCAGGCTAAGCCAAGCAGTAGCAGTAAAACTTCTGATCCTCCAACACCAAAAGCTGCAACTACAAAAGCCCCTTCCACGAAACCCAAAGTGAAGCAGCTGAAAATAAAGGCTGAACCACCACCAAAGAAACGGAGGAAGTGGAAAGAAGACTTTTCATCATCCCAGTCTGACTCGTCTCCGGAGATCCGCACCAGCAGTGATGATGAGGGTGAGTTGTATATGGAATGAATGCGTCAATGACTTGAGATTATCTACATAAATGAAGGGGAGCAGTGAGATTGGTGACTCAAAATATATTTGTATTATTTTGTAGAGAAATGTATCTTCCTAATTAGATTGTGCTTTGACTCTCATGAACATAAGCTCACTTTCCCTGAGAACATACACTGGCAGTGCGGTTGACCCACACATGCCGCTGTGTGCATTAATAGAGGAAGTGAGCTGGAAAAGAGCCCTGTGACTTCTGCCATTAGTAATAACAATTATCTCACCTATTGGAGTGGGATAAATTACTAAGAATCATCCAGTTTAAATTTCTCAATCTGAGTTCATATTTAAAAAGTAAATGAACCTAGACAACAGCAACTCTAAAATTGTAGTTAATGCTATAGAGTAATATTTGGACACGAAGGACGGACAGAAAGGTCATGGGAACATGGAATTCACAGACAGAAGAATTTCCCCACAAACTGTTTGAAGCCCTTTGTTTATATATCTACCCATAACTTAGGTAGGTATTTTCTCTGTGCCTAGCTTTTCTCTTTTTAAAATGAGACGATTGAAATAAAAGACCAACTCTTTTCAAACTTGTTGATTTTGAAACCTTTTTCTCCTTTTAAAAATGTAAAAAAAGCCCTTATAAAATATTTGTTTATGATAAAAGTCTTTTGACATTATATTGGAGATCAAAGCTAAGTTATAAAGCATAAGACTATATGGGCTATCAAAGCATGATGTGTGACTTACGCAGTTTAGTGTCCACATCAGGGATGTACACCCTATGAAGAAAATCTCACCCACAGATTTTGTTGTTGCTGTTGTTGTAAATAAAGTTTTGTTAGAACACACCCATACCCACATATTTATATGTTGCTTGTGTAGTGACCCACCACAATTAACCCCAATGTAACTATAATGTAGTAGTTACGGGTAGCCATTTTGTCAGTGTACTCTATGTTAATTAGCCTGAATGTAGCCCTTTTTGTGTGTGTGACCCAAGTATGACCACTATGCAACTACTGTAATTCCTTTCTAACTTCTGTAACTGCTGACCAATTGCCATTTTTTTGGAAATTGTTGCTTGTAAACCCCCATTTTATTTTTATAAGTTCACATTTTTCCATATGTCATAATGCCATCCGCCCTTGTGCCTGTTTGTTCCATAGTATAAAAACTCCCCACTTTAAGCACTTGTGGTCGAGCTTGAATTAGGCTCTAGCCGCCTCTTGATCACGGGCTAATAAAGGCTTATTAGCTTTCATTAAAGTTGTATGTGGGTTAATTAATCTCGTCTCAGTACTACACTTGTGACTGCTTTCCCAGCACAGAAGCACATTTTAGTAGTTACTAAGCGACCACAAGATCGGCAAAGCCTAAAATATTTACCAGTAGGTCCTTTAAATAGCGTTATCCAACCTCATTTCTTTTAGAGTATAAACTTGACGGTTCAGAGGGAAAGATGAAGGAATTTTTGGAGGCCCTGTATGCTTTGCTGAAGCTAAAGCGCACAGGATTTTGTGGGCAAAGTTGGAGTTTGAGGAGGGATAAGCAGAGTAACGTGAGATTTGAATCGAGATAGTGGAGTCTTGGCATGACTTGAGGATTTAGAACTACGTACTAGTCACAGTGATGGAACCAAGATTGTAGATTTAATGAATTTAAGGTGTAAAATTGGCAAGGCCTAAATGATAGATTAGGCGTTGGGAATGAGGAAGAAGTTGATAGCCAGAATAATTTCTAACATTGTAAGCACTCTTATTGCTCCTATTACAAGTACTAGAATTGTTTGTTGTCATCAAGTCCCGTCTTAGTCATGATGACCCCTGTGAGAGGAGTAGAATTTAGAACTGCTGCATGGGGTTCTCAGGGCTGTGACCTTCCAGAAGCAGATTGTCTCCCAAGACACCTGAGTGGATTCGATAGTCAGCGTTTCATTTCGTATTGTGTGTTTAATCATCTGGATGAACAAAGGCTGAGTCATAGAAATAGTCATAAAGTATCTTTGCTAGTGCAACTCTCTCACTGCCATCGAGTCAATATGATAGTGACAGGGTAGAACTGCTCCCCTGGGTTTCTGAGACTAACTCTTTTTGAAAGTAAAAAGCCCCATTTTTCTCCTGTGAAGCAGCTAATGGTATTGTGGCCTTGTAGATCACAATCCAACTCTTGACCACTATGTCACCCTCCACTGCAATAGTCTATTTTAAATGCACTTTTTAAAACTACATATGAACGTTCACTAGAAATATGTACATCAAAATTTATAAAGAAATCAGTACTTTGGGTATTATAAAGCATTCTTATTTTTGCTGCTAGCAGTCCTACTTGCTGCTTATGATAGGAAGATATTCAATTTCCACTCATATTATACTGCTTTCTCAAATGACAAACTATTACCATCCCTATGATAGCTTAAATGACCACTAGGCATCACTAGTACTTTATAGAAAGTAAATATTGATAGTAAAATCATTTATAGGCTGGCCATTTTCAAAGTCTCTTTTTTTGAGACCTCTTTATCACCAGAATTAATTTAGTATTAAAAAAACTCATGTTTATATAGGCTGTATCTATTTATCTTTGCCAGATAACAATTAAAATTTTAAATTATTTAAAATCAGTCCATTATATATTGATGTAATTTTTAAAAATAACTATACTGTCCCAAACTAGCAATATTTAGTATATGGTGGTCCCAGGTTCATATTTGCTTCTATATTCATTTTGTTGTTTAAAGTGTATAAAGCAAACCCAGCCACATATATAGCAGGACAGGGATGAATGTTTTAGATGCCTTTATAGATAATTCTGGATATTTTTAAATACTTAAAACAATAGTGATAGTTTGCTGAGCATTTCTTGCTCTGTTACATTAAAATCTATTTGTTTATTAATTATCTGTGCACAATTTTATAAATTTATGAATTGGTCATTTGGAAAATACTAGTTAGCTCAGTGATGTAGATCTTTGGAATGCTCATATATTTCATTTTATAATACTAAAATAAACAAATGCATCAAAAAATTCCACCATTGGGAAGGGGGAGGGAGGGCAAAAAGAAGAGCTGATACTAAGAGCTCAAATAGAACATTAATGTTCAGAAAATGATGATGCAACCTCGTACAGATACGCTTGAAACAATTGATGTATGGAATATTATAAGAGCTGTAAGAGCCCCTAATAATTTCTTTTTAAATACCACCACTGATCTCAGTAATGAAGTGTTTAAATGTTAAGAAGCTCTTAACTTAGAGGGACAGCTGCAAATTTTACAGAATGCGTTTTCACAAAATCTCAATTGTATCACTAACAGAAAGTATAGCCAGCTGTTCCTTAAGTATAGGTGCACCAGATACTTGAATAGGCATACCATGTCTATCACTCACTCCTTCAAACGAAAACAGTGCATCCATGTGAAAAAGTGGATCCTCTGACTTGATGAAAGTCGTACTGGAGCTGATTCCTACTACGTTGTGCTTTGCCAGTACTTCGCTTGTACTTCCCATTGCATCACAGAATATTAAAGAGGCATTCACTTTGTCTTCAAAAAAACCGCTCAAAGCATTTTAACTTCTAAGTCAATAACTTCATTATAATAGTTTTATGAAATAAGAATGACGTTTACTTTTCCGTTCCGATTTAAAAGTAACCTTTATTCATAAAGTATACATTATAGGAAGAACTCTAAAACTTAATGCCATTGAGCCAATTCTGACTCGTGGTGACCCTTAAGGACAATGTAGAACTGCCCTTTGGGCTTCTGAAAATGTAACTCTTTACGGGAATAGAAAGTCCTGTCTTTCTCCTGAGGAGCACCTGATAGTTTTGAAATTAAGACCTTGAGGATTGCAACCCAATGCATAACCACTGCGCCACTAGAACTCCTTTTGTAGGAAGAGTGGAATTTAGTTAATGCTTCATCAAGAACTGTTTTTAAATGAAACTGGCTTTTTTCCCCGCCTGCTAGTGTACTGCTGTGACATGACCTCTCATACAGATGGTGCCAGTGGCTTGACTAATGCGAAGCAAGGCACCAGCAGTTTACCCAATATTATTTTGTACCATTTGTGCAAATGCCAGCACAGTGAAAAAGGCAACTAATATCTTAATCATACTATGAAAATAATTTTGAGGTCAAAGACCCCTGAATGTATCATGGTACCTCCAGGAGTCTAGGACTAAAAACTGTCCTTCTTCGGGCATAAAAGATTATAGGTTTGTATGTAAAAAGTTAAAATTGAGGGACTCTTGTTTTGTTTAAGATATAAGAGATAGATTTTGAAGTTCTCAACATGGAATTTAAGTGGGATGTGTTTGCATTCATTTTCTAAAATATGTATTGACCCTATGCCATAATTTCATAGCAATTTGGGTGTAGCAGCAAGTAGGCATAGATATTAAATACTCAGATGTTTTGTGGTTTCTTCAGGTTTTGAGCAACACATCAGGTTTTGAGTAACACAACCTGGTAATATACAAAGGGGACTTCAAAGTGTTTGTGGAAAAACTCCATTATCTTATAATTACAGTTTCCACAGACTTTTTAAAGCCCCCACATACGTCTTGTAAGGGACCAAGGGCAAAGAAATAGGTTCCCACTAAGATTTGGTCTCTAAATGCTGTACTGATATTGGACTTCAAGATCACATGGGAAACTTTTCAAAAATATGTTTGGACTTCATCACCAGTACTTCCACTGTCGACCAGCAATTCTGTCTCTGTAGGTCCAGCAATCTATTGTTGTTTTTTGTCTATTAAACTCTCATTGATTCTAATGTGCAAACTGTTTTTATAGCAGTGTAAGAGAACTGTGAATTTGAGAAGTTCTTGCCTTGAGTTTTCAGTTGTTTATGGACTCTTATAAAATATTTTAAAAGTTGTCAGGGGGGGAAATCTAATGTTTCCTTTCCTCCCCTGCCAGAATTTGATCCTCCAGCTCCCTCTGTCACTCGGTTTTTGAACACGAGAGCAATGAAGGAAACCTTCAAGAGCTACATGGAATTGCTTGTTAGCATTGCCTTGGACCCTGACACAATGCAAGCCTTAGAGAAGAGCAATGGTACAGATGTCTAAGTAGTACTTTCTTGATAGTACTTTCTGGATCTCTTTTTCTGTTCTGTATTGTTTATATATGATTTGTGTACTCTATGCCAATATGTTTTAGTACAGATTTATAATAGATTATTTCAAATGAGTCTTATCTTACATGTTGTCTGAATATTTGAACTTCATATTGAATGTGTTTTGTGTTGATTTTTGCCAGTGGGAAAATTATGTAACTACCCACCAGTTTCTTTCCATTCTAGAGGCTTCATAGTATTTCACTGCCATACATGAAACTAAAGTTAAAGGTACAGATGTTAAAATACTTTGCTTTCTAGTGATTAGAAAGATGATAATGGTATAGAGATAAAATGTTTTTATTCTCCATGACAGATACATCTCAGAAAAGCTATTTTCTAATGGATCAAAATAATATATGTACTAGGTTCCAGTCAATATTATTTCTTTATCCTTCTACCCTTTCCTTTGATAATTATTTTTTATAGTAAAATGGATAATATTTGCATATGGCAAAGTGAAAACTCATAAGTTTAATAATGTTCTTTGACCATTTTTACTCTGTATCAACTGTAGCATTTACCAGTGCCAAGGAGAACAGGAATAAAAAATCAATAAGACAGTTTTCTCTAGTCTTTTATAAAATTAAGTAGGGTGAATATAAAATCAAAAGATTCTAAGAGCAGAGTAATCAGTAATAAATATAATTCAATAATAATGTCTATTGTTTTACAAATCTCAAATACTTTGACATATATTATTTTTACTTTAACCCCAGAACAACTGAGAGCCATTTTGTAAAAAAAAAAATACGAGATACCGAAATGTTAAGTGACTTGCATAAGGACCCAAAGGGCTTCTGATTTCCAAACCACTGTTTTTCTTACTACATTATCAGACAAAAATATTCTCAAACTCACTGCCATCAAGTCTGTCCTCAGAGACCCTATAGAACAGAATAGAACTGCATTCTGAGTCTCCAAGACTGTAATTCTTTATGGGAGTAGAAAGCCTTATCTTTCTACCTCAGAGTGGTTTCAAACTGATGACCCTAAGGGTTAGCAGCCCAACTTGTGATTACCACACCAACAGGGTTCCCTCCTAATCAGACAATACTCCTCATGTATCTGTCATTTTAGAGCCATGTGAAGCTAGCCAGGGACCTTAGAAGTTGTTTATTACCATCAAGTCAGTTATGAAGAAAACAGTGTACAGTGGAATGGAACACTGTCTGACCTGTGCCATCCCCAGTGATTGATATATCTGAGTTCATTGTTCCAGCCACTAGTTTAATAAATCGATAATTAAGGGTCTTCCTTACTTCTGAAAACATGTTCAAAGTATATAAGATGAGGTCTCAGTCCACTTGCTTTTAAGGAACAGTCTAGCATTGCTTCTTCCAAGCCATGGTATATTTAGTACTTTTCACCAACACTGTAACTCAAGTACATCCATTTCTTTTGGTCATCCTTGTTCATTATCCAGCTTTCACGTACATATGAGGTAATTGAATATATACCATGGCTTGGTCGGGTGCCCCTTAGTATACAAGGTAACAGCTTTGCTTTGTAACACTTTAAACAGGTCTTTTGCAGATTTGCCCAGGGCAGTATGTTGGTTGATTTCTTAATGGCTTCTTCCATGGGTGATGGTTGTGTATCCTTGACAACTTAAATCTTTTTTTCTCTTTTTATCATGATACTTTTTGGTCCAGTTGTAAACCTTAAAGATTACCTCATCTAAAACATTTTGTAGACTAAGATGCTAAGAGAATAAATGTATCTTCTTAAAGTCACAGCATTTAGTGGTAGAAGCAACAAGAATAACACCCAAATAGATAGCGCCCTAGGTCAGCATGTTTGTGATCAAATCTTCCCATTCTCAATCAGTACTTGTTGCATTGTAAAATATGCATCTTAGAGTAATTGTCATTTCTGAGTAATTAGAGTTGGAATGTTTTTTCTTTTATTGTTTATCAGTGTTTTCTGGTTTTTCTACATTAAGGGAAAAATTATAAGATCATATTTTTAAATACTCCACAAAAGTTTGTCTCTGTTAAATAAGTTTATAGTACTTTAGTAGATTTAATTACCACTCATCTGTCAGTTTACTGTATTGACTTGTGTGTTATTGTGGTGCTGGAAGCTCTTTCACTGGTGCTTCAGATACCACTAAGGTCACTAACAGTGAACAGGTTTCAGCAGTTTCCAGAATAAGAACATATTACAAAGAAGGAATTGGCTGTCCATTTCTAAGGAATTATCCACTGAAAACCTTTCAACGATAAACATTGTCAGATTGTGCCAGAAGTGAGTCCTGCAAGTGGGAAGGCACTCAAAATATGACTGAGCAAGAGCTGCCTTTTCAAAATATAGTCAATCATGATATGGATGGAACAATGCTTTCGGGACCTCCATTTAATTGATGGAGCATAACTCAAAATGACCTATAAACACCATATATACTCAAATTATAAGCCAATCCGCATATCAGCCAAGGCACCTAATTTTGCCACAGCTGCATTAAAAATGTGCTGAAAAACTAGGCTTTTACAAGAGTATATACTGTACTAATAATTAGAACTTGGAATGTATGAAGTATACATCTAGGAAGATTGGAATAGTCAGAGATGAACCAGATTGCATGAAGATCCATATCCAAGGCACTTGTGAGCTCAAATGGACCTGGCTTGGTCCATATGGAGTAGTCTGCTGAGAGTGATAAATTAGAGGGGAATGCTAATGTAGTCTTGTCAAAAAGGACACGTCAAGGCCTATCTTGAAGTCCAGTGCTGTCTGTAACAGGACCTCTATACATACACATACAGGGAAATCCATTTCATACAAGTTCTCTTCAAATGTATGCACCAGTCACTAAAGCTAGTGATGAAGAAATTGGAGAACTCTCCCAAGATCTTCAGTTTAAAGTTGATCGAATGTGCACTCAAGATGGATTGATAATTGCTGGCTATTGAAATGCAAACATTAGACACAAAGAAGAAGGGATACCAAAGAGACCAAATGCCTGGCCCTGGAGTCCGTTCTGACTCAGCAATCTGGCCTTGGTAATAGGTAGATGATAACATTTTGGAAAATCAATGACCTTTTCATTGCAAATACTTTTTTTTCCAACAACATAAACGGCAACTATACACTTGGAATTCTTTAAATGAAATACACAGAAATCAAATGAACCACATCGGTGGGAGAAAGCCACAGAGAAACTCAAGCAGTGCAGACAAAGCCAGCAGCTTCTTGTGGAATAGACCATCTGTAAGTTCAAGTTGAAGCTGAAGAAAATTCAAACAAGTCCCAAGTGCCAGAATACAACAGTGAATATATATCCCAGCTGAATTTCAAAAACATTTGAATAACAGATTTGATGCATTAAACACTAAATTATATTTGTTGAGCTATATGGTGGTAATCAAAAGCTATCCAAAGAACAGACATCTGTCTTGGAAAAAGTACAGCCAGAATATTCTTGGAAGCGAAGTTAGCAAGACTTCTCCGCTTAACTTGGACTTGTTATCAGAAGTTCCTGGGAAAGGCCGAAACACTGGTAAAGTGGGAGTGCATTGCCAAAAGAGGAGTACCCTTGACTGATGAGCTAGACTGACACAGTGGCTGCAACAATGGGTTCAAAATAACAATTGTAAGGATGACGCAGGACTGGGTGGTATTGTGTCGTACGACAGTGGCTGTGAGTCAGAGCTGACTTGATGGCACCTAACAACTGCAGCCGAAAGATAAAAAGATAACCATCAGGTGACTGCGCTGATCTCAGAAAGTATTCTGCTCTAACAGTTGTTTCCTTCACTGGGAGGTTTTACTTCCAAGGCCATCGCCTTGTTGTGTGTTTTAGGTAAACCGTCCATTTGTTCAGCTGTCAAGTTAGTAATCTAGATTCTAAGGAGTGTTTATGTTTTCTGAAAAGCCGTTAGAGGCAATTGGCATCTTTCACTATACTGGTAAATTAACAAATAGTCTAATTATCTATTTAATGCAGCACCAGTGGTAATGTATACTCTGAAGTTGCCTTTAAAAGAATGTAAGGTCCTCGGGTGAAAAGGCAAAATTTTGCATAGGAAACTTAAGCATACTTTCACTCTCTTTTCTAAAGTAATACACTCTCCTGCTTGTGATACTGAGTGCTGATTCTTTTTCTTCCTCAACTTCCTCTTTGACCCAAACTGCCCTGAATTAAAAATGTCCTTTGGTTATGCTCACTGTAAGACCTTATGTTAGACAATTGTATTATTATATTTTGATTATTCATAAGCTGAGCGGTCTGGAGAAAGTAAGCAGCTTGCCAATGATTACATAGCTACTCTTCGGTCTAGTCGCCGAGATAGGGTTAAAACCCAGGTGTCTCAGCCTGGTCCAGAGCCTCGTCCATCATCATACTGAGCCGCTGCTTTCTCTTTTGCTAGTAGTGTAAACCCACTTTTCAAGTTATGCTTTGTTCAGAAAGCTTCATTACCAAACTTTAGTGAGTAATGTTTTATATAAGCCAATGAATTTAAAGTGTTATGTTAATGTTTTGAGATAAAGTTTAATTTTTAGGAAGCTTTTTGTGTTGATTACATCTTCCTGTTTCCTTAAAATTTAATGTTGTTTCAGATGAATTACTTTTACCTCATATGAAAAAAATAGATGGCATGTTGAATGATAACCGAAAGAGACTTCTTTTGAATCTTCATCTGGATCAACCATTCAAGGTATTTCCTTCCTGGTAAAACTCAGTGGTGATCACAGACTGATGAGAAGAAATGTTATGAAAGTCATTCTTGGTTTGGTTTTGTTGTTTTAATTCATCTAACAACAATTTGGTTTTCATTTACTGTGCACTTATGCAAATATATTAATCCATAACAATAGTGGTATTGACCTATATACATATATTTATAAGGCAATACACTGAAGCTGCAGACGGGCCTTGGGCCTTGGCTCACACCTTCCCCCAATACAAGAACACTTTGTTTTAACAAATTGGCTTTCTGTGATGCTCACCTACACATACACACACAATTGCTGAAGACAAAATGGGTGCATAAGCAGATGTGAAGACAGAGGATGGTGCCTGGCTATTAAAATACATAGTGTCTGGGGTCTTAAAGGCTTGAAGTTAAACCAGCAGCCACCCAGCAGTGAAGCAACAAGCCCTCATAGAAGAAGCACATCAGCCAGTGCGATCATGAGGTGTCATTGAGACTGGGCAACGGGCACCAGAAGATTTACAAACAAACAAAAATGCATTGGTGAGAATGGAGGAGGGTTGGAGCAGAGACTCAAAGCCTGTCTGTGGACAAAGGAACATTCATCCACAGAAGGGCCTCAGGGAAGGGGTGAGTCAAATCAGGGTGCAGTAGAGCACTAATGGGCCACTCAATATACCTCTGTTCCCTAGAAGCATTCCCCTCCCCCACCCCCCCAACCATCATGACCTCAGTGCCGTCTCCCAATCTAGACTAGACGGGAGCATGTACATAGGTATAGGTAAGAGATAAAACTCAAAACACATGGAACCCAGGAACGGGAATGGGAATAAAGATACTAAAATGGTAGGGGAGGGAGTGGGGCACCGATCACAATGAATGGCACATAACGACACATCCCCAGCCAGGAGGAAGAACAACAGAAACCAGAGGGGAAGGGAGACAGCAGTGTGTGTGAGATTTGAAAATAATTAGCAATCTACATACTATTGGGACCATGAAGGTTGGGGGGTCGGGGGGGTTGGGGTTGGGTAGCTGATCCCAAGAGATCAATGGGTGGTAGTCATCTAGAAAAGAACGATGGAATATATGTACTAAATGTTGGATACAACTGATGTATGGTTTGTAACGAGTTGTGAGAGCCCCCAATAAAATGATTTTTTTTTTAATTACCAGTTTGGGCTATTTTTAAAATGTCAAGCCCATTCTCTAATAACATGTATTAAAATACCAGTGGGATTTAATAGATTCAGTAAAAATGTGAAATTTACATGATAGTTTTTTTATGAAAAATATAAAAAATTTATTTACAATTATTGGTTCTGGAAATTTTCATACAAATCCATTTGTATTTCAAATTACACTTTAAGTTAGAGTGATTTGACTATGAATAGATTAAAAAATACTCTTTTGTTCTTTAGAAATAGCTTAGTTGCCACTGTTTGTCATGATTGTGTGGATGATTTCCGTCAGATTCTTGAAGTCTGTGGAACTTCCGGTGCTCTGTTTTCTTCTAAAATGTGTGTGCTCTGGGTCATCGGAGGTATCTTGAGCTCAATGGAAAGATAATTTAAATTTTATTCTTTAACCCTAGAATTGTGTCCAGTTTTAGAATGCATTTCAGATTTTTACATTTCAGTTGTTATAGAGAGTATCTCTGGATCTAAAAATTGTCAAGCTTCATCATATTTTAGGTAGAATGAACCAGACAGAGTATGCGACAAAATATATGAGAGAAAAGTTAGTTAGAAGGTAATGGTAACTCACTGATCCAAACCCAAATTCACTGCTACAGCGTCAATTCTGATTCAAAGTGACCCTGTAGGACAGAATAGAATTGTCCTGTGGGTTTATAAGGCTCTGTCTTTACAGAAGTAGAAAGCCTCATCTGTCTTCTGCAGAGCACCAGATGAGTTTGAACCACTGGCCTTGCAGTTAGCAGCCACTTGAGTTAGCACAAACACTACACCACCAAGGATCCTTCCCTTCCTCTATAGGCAATGTCAAATATCCCATTGTTTCTAGCAAATGAAACTTGGTTCCCTTTTAAAAGTTTAGCTAAGACTGAAGTGTGTGATCTGGTGGGGTTTTTTGTTGTTACTATTTTTTAAGGGGCCTGTTCTTGAGATCACAGTACCAGGTGCCGAGAGTTGTGTGTGTCTGGTAAAAAGAGCAGCCTAGAAATTGTATATGAAGCAACTGAGCTTCTAAATGAAGACTTACCTTTTGAACCATAAATATAATGGAAGTACTTTGACCCTTTTAGTAATGTCACGGTAACAAATGTTACTGGGAATTCTATTTAATTTTATATATAATATAATTACTATAAAACAACACACATTTTATCTACAAGTATCCTTTAGTTATTGTTTTAAGTTCCACATATCAGGATGAAGCTTTTCACGGCAGGCAAGTAGGTACAAACACAAATAGGGGAATGGATTTTGAAGAATGGATTAGAGTTGGTTCTTGTCACCTGGCCAATTTGCATTATCGATAGTAACTTCTGTGTCATTGTGGTCAGAAATCTCAAGCTCTGACTTACCTTCAAAAAACCAGGAGAAATGTTGAAGCCAAAAAAGCATTCCAGCGCTTCTCATCCTTCTTTGTTGTCATCAGCACCCAGGATCAGATGACTTCCTTATATCAGCGGTGGCTTAGTTTCAGAGTGCTAACAGTGGTTTAAAGTGGCAGAGCTTTGAAGAACCTTAAATATGTCCATTTTCTCCTGGCTATAAAACCAGTCATTACTAACCAGAACTCTCAGCCTTGTTCAGGAGTCCCACAGTATGATACCCCAGCAGTACTCTCGTGTGTGTGTGTGTGTGTGTGTGTGTGTGTGTGTGTGTGTGTGTGTGTGTGTGTTTTATATGCATATATCTTAGATACAAGCCGTATACTCCACATGTCTATGTTAATATGCATGTATTTTGTTTTCATGTGTACACACATTTTGTTGTTAAAGAACTTTAAATAATCAGAAATTATTTCAATTAGTTTTCTTCTGATATTAAGTATTTTGTTTCATTCTTTTGAAGAATGCTTTGGAAAATTTTCCTGAACTGACAATAATTACTCGAGACTCTAAGGCAAAAAGTGGGGGATCTTCTATTTCTAAAATAAAAATGAATGGCAAAACTTATAATAAGAAAACTCTAAGGACTTCCAAAACGACCACTAAATCTGCACAAGTAAGTATAAATTAATAAATATAAATCAACATTTTCCCACTAATATAATCCCTATTTGAAACAGTCAATTAAGCACATATTTTATCTGTAGTTGAGTTTGAAGTCTTTTCCATTAGGAATGAGTAGCTCTGCACTGAGGAATAGGAACTCAGTCTTGTTTATTGTTTTTCTCCAGTGCCAAGTAATATCTGGCAAATAGTAAGTGCTCACAAATATTTTAATATAGACTAGTAAGCAAGAAATCATATTGGGGCTTTATTCCATTGGATATACATTCATAAATATAATAGATATTTATTCCATGTGTGCAAAATCATTAAAATTAGAATTAATTCATCTTTAAATATAAATTGTTACAAGCTTTTCAGGAAACATTTTTGGCAACTTAATTCCTTAGGGGAAAAAATGTATTCAGTGGAAACCGATTCTTCACAAGCACATAGAAGCTATATGGATTTGCCATTGGAGAAGTGTATGATCAATATAGTTAGAACCAGTGAGACCAAGTCAATAAAGAATGGCACAAGGTGGGGGCGAAGCTGCTACCAAGGGCTCAATAGAAAGTAATTGGCTAGAAAAGAATGAAGGCAACATATGTACAAACATGTCTGATTCAATTGATGTATGGATTGTGATTAGTTGTACAAGCCCCCAATAAAATTATCTTTAAAAAAAGAGTGGCACAATGTAATACTGTGTACTTTTTTAAAAGAAGAGATTGATTCATTAATCCTAAGAAAAACTTTGGTCTTGTGTGCAGTAGAGTATCAAACATACGTCTCAGTATCAGGAAACACAACAGTGAGAAATTGTTTTAAAATCCGTTCCTCATATAGGTTACATTCCAGGGAGGGAGGTACAGATGTATGTAATAAATAGAAAGATGGTCAAGTTGTGTTTTTTTTATTACATAATTCTGAACCCAGGGATTATAGGAATCACTGTTCTCTTTTGTCATAATGTGTAAAATTTTTGAATAGTGTATATTAAATTCTGAAAGAAGAATGAAGATATTAAAATGGAGTTTAAATTCTTGTTTTCTTTTGTTTGTTTGGAATTAAATACTTATTTTTAAATAGTCTCTTACCCATATTAATATAACCTAATAGCTACCCTAATAAGTCACTCTCAAGATTGTCATTGAGACGTTAGTGTAATATTTACCTAAACGATCCGATGCTGGACTACTTCTCTAACTTTTTCTCTTTTCATAGGAGTTTGCTGTAGATCCTGAGAAAATACAATTATATTCTTTGTATCATTCACTCCATCATTATAAATATCATGTTTATCTAATATGTAAGAATGAGGTAATCTCTTTATTCTTTCATTTATTTAAAAAAGAATCTTTCAAAACTTTAAGGAGACTCTAGCAATAGTGTTTTTTTAATATTTTTAAAGTGCATTTTACATATTCTCCTGTGAATAATGACTACAAGGTTTATTGTTCTGAATCTCATGTTTTGTGTTCAGATTAAGCTGTTAGTGGTTGCTTTACATCTACGATAAATGGATTTCTTGCTTTCTATTCTTTCATAATATATAAAAGTTGTACTTTAATTCGCTTCAATAAGTACCATAAATACTCGAGTATAAGCCAACCTGAATATCATCCGAGGCACCTAATTTTACCACAAAAACTGCATTAAAAATGTGCTGAAAAACTCGGTTTATACACGAGTATATGCGGTACTGATATTTTGCTGTTTTGTCCCATGTACTGTATATTTATGCACAGAATACATGTTACACATTTTGTCCATCGTATCCTCCTAATGCTTAAGAAAACACCTTTGGAGGAGAGGGTTCCGTTGGCATAACGAAAATGGATAAGCACCTGCATTGTTAACATCTAAACAAAGTGATTGTGGAGAAATGGGTCTCTGACCTTGACATAAAGAAATTAAATTTAAAATTTATAATAATTTTAGCTACCATAAATATTAATTGCTCAGAAATTATATATAATGTTTATACCTCCTTGGGATGGTATATAAAGATCATTTCTGTAGGTAGGTTAAATTTTCGTAGGTAGTGCTTACTAACTTACCTTAACAGCAAATCAATGTTTCGGTTTTAAAAATGAAGTTGGCCTGAAGCCTTATGGACACTGCTTGACAGTGGGATATGGGACAATGGGATATGTCGACATTTTTACAGTGCACTGAATGCAGACCATACTCCAAAGTTTGTTATTTAACTTGTAGCTTAAAAAAACAAACAAACTTGTAGCTGAATTGAAAGGTTATTGAGAAGTTTGGACCACTTCTCTAGTCTTTCCCGCTCCATTAGAGCCATGGAAGAAAGATTAGCCTTTGTCATGGAAGGGGTGGAAGCTTGTTTGTTTTAATGTATTACTTCCTGTTTCATTCACGATAAAGAATAAGCCCTTATAGATAATTTAAGTATAAAGTAATAAGTTAAACTAATGTTTGTTTGTTTTTCTTTTAGATTTCTTCTGTGCAGAAAAAAAATGAAGATTTAGGACAGGAAGAAATTGTCCAACTTTGTATGAAAAATGTAAAATGGGTGGAGGACCTTTTTGAAAAATTTGGAGAACTTTTGAATCATGTGCAGCAGAAATGTTCTTAATATTTCCACAAAATTGCATCACTTTCCCAGCACTGGCAATGGGGGTGGTCAGTGAGGTCCAGGGCCTCAGATAATCAAATGTCAAGCCGTGATCTGCAGGTGTGCCTGCTTCCTTCCACCAAGGAATTCACATCAGTGACCTCTGCTAAAGGACAGTGGTGCTGCCAGGAAAGTGGTCCTTTCCACCCAAGTCCCATGACAGTTTTATCCTAATGAATGATTTTTCTATTTTTTAAACCATTGGGTAATTGAGTTTTATTTTCAGAAATGTTATTTGACAAATGATGAAGCATGAATTAATTATAATTTTTCTGTATTGTTGGAGAGAGAACACTTAACTAGATTTCCCCCTCACCTTATTCTGGGCAAGTACCAGAATGAAGAAAAATAGCAGAAAGCATATATTTGCATTTATGTCTTGCCACACAATGGAAAGTATTGTACATTCTGTAAACAGATCTGGTAGGACGTGACATTCTGTATGAGAATATCACCAATTTAAAATATAAATTTTAGAAACAGCATTTTGCTTTATGGACTCCTTTTACTCTTAACATGTTCAGGAAACTGGATGTGGATTTGGTGCAATTCTATGACTGCTTTTTGTGTTGAATTATATTATGATGAAATAACACACACAAAAACAATGACATGCTATTTTCCCCTATCTCAAAGAAAAATATTTTCCTTTATACTGTTTTTTCCCTTTGGAAAAATTTTCAATTGTACATTTTATCTCACTCAATAGATGTATTTTTCATAAGGAAAATGTGGTTCTAATTATGTTGTATCTGTAATACACTTTATTATTTTTAGTAAATTGTAGTTTTATGTTGAATTTTTATTACCTTGAGGTAACCATTTTTGTCATACAGATTTGCTTCAGTGTTATCCATTCAGTACTAGAGTTAGTTTAGCTTTATAAATGAGGTGTGCTAGACACTGCATTAATTTTCTAATTCATGGAAATAAATTTATTACTGAACTAGCACTTGATTGGTTGACATAGAAATCTAACCGTGCCCTACATTTTGGAGAATGAAATGGATAACTAGACTATATGCAGTGTTAAACATAGCTTACCCAACTCGTAGAACTGCAAGTGGTGGAGCTTCTTTTGGTGCCTTTCCAGCCTGTGTCCACTCTGTCGTAGCTTCCTTTTGTTCAGTTACTATCAGTTTGAGTAATTTAGCTCAGACAGTGAATGTATTAGGTTCAACATGACCTCGTTTTTATTTGTTTGCCAACAGGATGCCTTATTTGTTTGTAAAGGGGTTTTTTACTAGTGTCATCTTAAACCGTCTCCTTTTTTGGGATTCTAAAGAAGTTGTTAATCATCATGCTTTTATTTTACCACCATTTAGTGCCTTATGTCTTATCAAGAAAGCAGTGTTACTGCTCAATGCCCAAATAAGACATGTTTATGTGGATATTGCTATTGTCTTGATTTTTGAATTAACAGCCAATTTCTCTTACTTAAAACCTCAGTAAATTAGTAGCTTGATTTGAAGGAGGGGGTGGAAATCATTGTAGCATTGAGTGAAAATTTAACATCTGCATCTGAGTTAAGCTTTAAGCTTGCATATTTATTTCTGGAGGTGATCTTGTTTAAAGCAATAATCCTTAATACTTGTACCTGGTATGAGGTAATAAAGTACTCAATAATGGAAGTTTCTCTCAAGAGTTAATTCTTCCATTTCTGAGAGATTTTTTTTAAAGCCTGCATGGGTAGCATATTTTGAAAACAGAAGTAGCCTATTAGATTCCTTTTACCCGATTCACATGAGAAGTGCAGAATATCAGCAGTGGGAACATCATCAAATTATTTTTGCTAAGTGGAGATGAGTAGGAAGCAGCCATATTTCTTTCTGATAGTATTGACTCTGGACAGAATTGTTTTCTTTCGCTTCCAAAGTACAGACTAGAAAACTACATCTTCTAATGTCATGTTATAAGTATACTGACCCTCGAGTTTGATTTCCTGAATCTTAATGGTTTATGTTTAAAAGCATCCTTGCCTTTTGGTAACTTGAAATGGATGTTTGAAATCACTTACCACACTTCTTTATGATAAGCTGCGTGGAAAACAAAGATTTGATTTTCCTGTACAAAATAATCCATTTCCTTTTGCACTGCAGTTGCCTTTAGACTGTTTGCAGTTGTGTTCTATTTTGTAAAACAAGTGTTTTCATAAAACCAGAAGCCAATTCTCTGATACTGCCTTGAGGGAGACCCTATGTTTAGTTACATTGTCTTCTCTCATTTGGTCTTTATTATTTAGGCCAAAACGTTGTTCTCAGTCCTTAGAGAAAAAGGGGAAAACCAAGACAACCAGACATGAGTCTTCTCATTGTGTAAGTTTCAATAAATACCTAGCTAGTTAGCATTTACATTTCTTGCCATAGTTTGAAATTTATGATATAGAAATACTTTAGGTTGTAGATAAAGTTAAAGAGGTAAAGCACATGTTGCCACAATCCAATAAACATTTTTAAGGAAGAAAGAATGTTCCTATCTTAAGAGATCTGAAAATAATTTAACGTAGCAAACTATTATGGTGGTATTCATTTCTAGATCAGATTAGGGGTTAAAGAAGGGCCGCCTGTCTTTCATTTTCTTTATACCCCAGTTCCCATGTATTTGAGCCTCTAATGAAGTCATGAGTCTACTGTACTGTCACACGGGAAATTGGCCAAGTGGAAAAATCTTACTTTAAAATGGTTTAGAAAGTTCCAAGATTACCTTTAAATCTTTAAATTTCTAAAATTAAAAATTATGTAGATGGACTTATGCATTTACAACTGTTTTGGAAGCTTTCCCAAGATTTTTTTAGTCTCATTTTTCTTTTAATTACCCATACACTTACTCCTCCTTATTAACTATATCATTGATTGACATTTCTCATTAGTGACCATAGTATCTACTTTTCATATTAACTGTGTCTGAGAGTAACGAACACTTGGGTGCTGGGTGAGAGAAATGCTTGTTGGGATGGTTTAGGTTTGCTGTAAACCTGACTAAGTATGGCAGTTATGTAATGCTCTGACATGCGATGGTCATCCTTCATTTTCACTTACAGCCGATTTTCATATACTGACCTGATCCTTGATCCCTAACTATGTTAATAAGTCATGAGTGGGTATATTTATTTTCTTTAAAGCAGCTATATTCCAATATATGACGAGATATACCAGTATAGAAGCAAGAATTTTGAAACTGCTTTCCCAAAAGTTGCTTCACATTACAAATTTTATTGTATTTGTAGAATACATTATTTGTTTTTAATTATATCCCTTTCTGTTTCTCAGAAATGCTTTTCAGATAGCAAAAAAATCTCCCAGAATAAGTGCTTCTGTGTCAACGGCACTTGACTCATAACGGCACAGACAAACAGCGTACACTATTGTGCGTTCTTTTACTTGTACAACTTCTATGGCACCTATGTATCACAAATGCATGTTTTCAAAAAATCACCTTTATAAGTGAAGCTAATGGAGGTTCAAGACACAAAGAAACCTTCTGCGTTTGTAGTCCAGAGTTTCAAGCGGTCCATAATGCAATGTATGGAAATGTGAATGACAATTTTGTATATTTGTTTATTACTAACTTGATCATTAAAGTGGAAACAATTTTTTAAAAAACAAAATAAAAATGTTTGAGTTTTTTAAGTATTAAAAAAACCCGAAGTATTAGCAAAAAAAAATCATCATGCACTCCCTCACACAAAGTTATTCAGAACAAGTGGTTGGTTGTTTCCTGAGATGGTTCTTTTAGTCACCATTTGATTAATTCGTCAGCCCTACCTGAAAATACATAAGAATTCCTGTTTCAAGATACCATTTTTTTTCCATCTGTAAAGAATTATAATCCCATTGCCAATGAGTCTATTTCAACTCACAGTCACTCTGTATTATAAAATTTAAAGTCATTAAATTATACTCTAATTTTTTTTTAATTTAAAAATAATTGCTAATGTCAAGGTAGCCTTTTTACTTTATTTTCTTAACTATTAACATAACTATGTATCTGTTGAATGCTTAAGCACTCAAATACTAACCAAAAAGTTGGGAGTTAAAACCCACCCATAGGCCTCTGAAGTTTACTACCATCTGCTTCCAAAATGTTATAGCCTTAAGAACCCTGTGTCCCAGTTTACATTTCTTGTTACTGATTTTATTAGTATTTTTAAGATATACTTTGAATCTCAGAGAAGCTCTCCAAACTCAATTACTTAACCTATTCCTCCTCCAGGAAAATGTGGAAATGGATACTTCTTTGTTTTTAAATAGTTTTAATAGAAAAATGATAAAACTACTCATATTTGCTTTTTTTTTTTTAAGCAACATAGAAAAATATACAGTAAAATAGAATCTGTGTCCTACTAACCCTTTTTTGACAACCCATAAAATTATGTTTCCCATTCCCTGCAATGTTTATAAGATGAGATATTGGAGATTGCCCCTTTTCTGTGTTGTGCCTTAAGTAAACTCCTTTATTTCAGACACGGCGGGTGCCAGGGCTTTCTGACTCAGGGACCCTGTGTACAACAGGACAGAACACTGCCCAGCCCATCCTCATGCCTCTTGCTATGTTTGAGCCCGTCATTGCAGCCACCGCATCAAAGCATCTCACTGAAGGTCTTCCTCTTTGTCACGAACCCTGGTCTTTCCTGATCATGTGTTTGCCATCATGTCTAAGAAGCATCCAGACTGTACTTTCTCAAGGCAGATTGATTTCTCCCTTGGCAGCCTTTGGTATGTTAAATATGCTTTGGCAACACTATAATTCAAAGGTATTCTGTCTCAGTCTTCCCTATTAACTCCAGCTTTCTTGTGCAAAATGGAAAGTATTGTACGTTATGTCCAGTGCAATATGATGTTTAATTCCGAACTGCTGCGTCCATGACCGTTAGTTGTGGGTACAAGTGTCATGGTGTTATTTGTTACATTGTGAACATTTCATGTTGAGGTGTAATCAATACTGAAAGCTACAGTCTCCATCAGTAAGTCCTCTTTGCTTGGCTGCTGAGCGTTTCTCTACTCTGAGACTGCATTTGTATATCCCTGCTTCTCAGATTGTTTGCTCAGCATACAGATCGAGTTAGGATGGTGAAGGGATACACCCCTGGCACGCATCTCTCCTCATGTATGTATACATTCCACATGGGCACAATAAAATATTCTGGAGTCCCGTTCGCAGTGCTACCCATAACTTGTTACGCTCCACACAGTAACAACTCTGGATTATTGAACCCTAGGTGTTACACTGGTTAGCGTGAATACTTTAGAGTCCACTGGTTTCAAATAAAAGGAAGATGATCTATTAAACCTTATCTATGTTGTGATGTTAATCAGGAGTCAAGAAATAGCTTTGCTAAAAACAACTTATGTTTGATAAGTCATTTGCATGATACTTACCAAGTTTTTCATCCAAAGTAAATAAAAATCTTAAATTAGCTTGGTTTAGAATAAGGCAACAACTAAAGTCACTGGTGAAACTGCAGAATGAAAAATAGAGAACATGC